GGGTGGGGTGGGGAAGGAGCGGGGACTGAGCCAGGCCAAGACGAACTGAACGGTGCCGAGTGGAGGGAGGGCTGGAGGGACAGGGGAGCTGGAGGGGACTCCCTGTGCCTTTGGGGATGGGAGGCCCAGGAGCAGGGCGCAGGAGTAGGAGGAGGGCGCAGAGGAGAGGAGACCATGGACATGAAAACGAGGCTGGAGGAGCAGTCACAGTTGAGGCCTTGGGAGTCAGGCGGCATGGTCTGCATCGCTTCTCGGCAGCTGGGTGGCCTTGGGCGAGCCGTCGAACCTCTCAGCCTCTCCGTTCCCACACCCGTACGATGGAGGCATTCACAAGGTGATGCAGGGGGTGTTCGGCGCCGGGCCCGGCAGGTGCAAATCTGGACCCGCGGAGCCATCAGCAGGTACGGCCCCAGCTGCACTCTGCACACCCTGGCATGCACGTGGGCTCAGGACTCAGTTTCCTCATTTGTAAATGAGGTTCACGACAGTGTATGCCTCATAGGTTGTTTGGAGAATGAGCTGATTTTAGTTGCAAAGTGTATAGACCATGGACGGAGCATAGGACTGGCACTGTGGACTGGAAGGTGTGGTCGCTGCTGTTAATGAAGTTTCCCTGGAGAGCTGGGCTGTCTAGGGGCGGAGCCTGAGCCAGCAGTGGGGTTTGGTTGGCGAGACTTGATGAGGGTGGGGAGCAGAGCTGGGGGACTCCACGTCGGGGGGCCAGAGGCTCTGGGGACAAAGGGTTTGTGCACTGTCCTCCCCCTTAGAGAGGAGTGGCAGGGGGTGGACCTGGGACCTCCCCAAACCCCGATCCGCCAGGCCCTCGGTATTGGAGAAGCTTTTTAATCCTCCAACCCAAGACACGTATAAATGCATACATATTGAAATTAATTCAAAGTTAATTCCAGGAAGAAAAGGAACGCCACACTTGCTCTGGCTGTGGAAGGGCAGAGAAGACGCGCTCACCATTAAACTGCTATGGCCGTCCGTGGGGACAAAGGGACACTCTCTTACCCCCGGATGAGCAAATGCCAGGCCGCAGAGCAGAGGCAAAACCGTGTGTGCGTGAGGAGGGGTGGGAAGGGACGAACGAAGAAGCAGCACAGACACAGTTAATAACTGAAGTGTGAGAGAGAATGTTAAGCTCCCTGATGGACACATGGGCTAAGGACATCGTCCGTTTTATGCAACAGGAAACATAAAAATATTCCAGAAGTGTCCGCGACATCCCCACCCCTCTGTTCCCTGGAAATATGCAAGTGCTCCTGGTAGCTGTGACCTCTGGCAGGTGTCAAGGAGCCGGGCGGAGGGAGAGGTGAGAAGCCTCCCAGGGCACCCAGGCAGGAAGGGGGCCAGGAAAGGCCAGGGAGGTGCCTGGGCGGTTCAGCCCAGGACACTGCCCCCTTGAGGCCAGACCTTGACAGGGCCTGGGAGCCGCTGGACCAGGCAAGCCGGCTGTGTTTACAGGGGGGCAGTGACTTAGAGCTCTGAAGACGGTCACAGCTTCCCTCCAAGTGCTGGCCCCGCTCCCATAAATCACAGAGCCTGCCTAGTCCCCCCCTGCGTGCAGCCGGAGGGGAAGTTGGGGCTGCCCATCTCTCCCAGAACCTGTGGCCTTCACAGCCTTTGTGGGGAGGGGCTCCCTCGGCATGCTGCGGGATTTCAGTGTCTGGCTTGAAGACTCTTGCCTGCTCAGGAGACTCCGGGCGCCAGGGTGGCCATGGGCAGCTACAGGCAGGACAACTGCAGGGGCAGGGACCTTGAAACAAGGACCACCCCAGAACTTTCTGCCTTAACCTCACCGTTACACTTCCAGTGAGAGCCTGAGGGGGTGTGTGGGAGAGAGCGTGCGTTCTGCAGGGCAGTGGACCCTGGGCGCGCTTCACTCTGCCCTGCCCCTTGATGCCGCGCTTTGCCTCCTCCATGCTGCGGGCCGCCCACGTGCTCACGTTTGGGGAGGCCGGGCATTTCCGTCTCTGCAGGAGGCTCTGAGGGCTCTGCCGCCTTCCTGAGCAGGCAGGGGCCGGATGGGGGTAGCTCTCCGGGGCTGCTGCGCTCAGACCTCAGGAAAGGGCCTCCTCACCTGGCTCCCGTGGAATCCGCAGGCTGGATGCCCGGGTGCAGCTTGGGGCAGAGCTCTGGCGGGGCTTGGAGGTTTGGAGCAGAGGGTGGCCAGGGGGTGGACCATCTCCCTCTCCCTGCCTTCCTGTCCTCAGTTTCTCCTGCCCTTGCCACTCTGTTGGGGACCCCCTGTTTATTTCTGGGGCGGCTCCCGTCAGTGGTGGCTGGGGTCTCACATTGCCAGCACTCAATCCTCCCTGGGGCTCTGACCCCGTTGCCACACCAAGCCCTGGAAATGGGGTTTTTGAGGAGGCACTACCGTCTGTCTTGGCCACCGCTGCCTGCAGCAGAGTGGATGCTCAGCAGATTTTTGTGGATGGAATGAATGAGTCAGGCCCTGAGCTACATGGGGGACCGAGGACCGGACCCAGGACCGAACCCCGGGGCTGCCTGAGGCTGCCCCAGATGCGACACCTGACGCCCCTTCGTGCCCTGATTGCTCTCTGTTCCTGCCGTTGCCCTCACCCACCCTGACACTCCCTCGAGCGAGTCCGTCCTGGGTCCAGACCCTGAACGGTCCCATCCCACCGAGCTGGCCCAGATTTGGGCAGAGGCTGAAGAAAGGCACTAGACGACGTCAGAGGTTTCTCTTCTATGGGGTGGCTTCCTGTGCGACGATGCCCCTGTCCAGGGCAGATGTTCCCTGCCCCTGTTCCCGTCTGGCCGGCTGGCCCTCCCGCCTCACCTCTTGCCACGCCCCCAATACCCTGGCCTTCAGCCACACAGACAGACCCCGAGGCTCCCCCCCAAAAAACACCAAGCTCCTCCCTCCTCAGGCCTGCACTTTGGCTGTTTTCTTCTCCTCTAGTCTTTTTCTCTCATCCGTCTCTTGCCTCCGTTCCCTGAGCAGCTCTCCTGGGCGGGGTTGGGGGCATGCCTTCATGGCGGGGCGTGCTGGGGGGCCCCCGCACAGCTCTGCCCCTGCATGTGCCACCCTGCCATGCCCCAGGGGGAAACCCTACCTCCCGAGTCTCTCTGACTGCACATGGCTCCCCTGATGAGGGTCTTGAGCAAAGCCCATCAAGAGAGGGAGGTAGGCGATGACCTGTTGGCACAACAGCCCACGTAGGGCTTGAACGTTTGTGTTGGAAGAGGGAGAGGCTAGGACACAGGAGCGTGGGTGCTGGTGCAGGAGCCCTGGGGGGAGGCCATGCCCCGGGGCGCCCTGAGGGGCGGAGACTGGACTTGGAGGCAGCGCTGGGGCAGGGGCGTCTTACTGTACGTGTCTGCATTGGCGTTTGAGTTGTGTGCATGCACTACATGTTTAAATAAAAGCAACTCCAGTGACACTAGCAAGATTCATTTTTTAAAACAAAAGAGAGCCGGCGGGGAGGGTGGACGAGCCCCCCTCTGCACAGGGGCCGAGAGGTGAAGGGCTCTGTGGGCCCTCTGGCCCCGGCGCCTCGCTGGGCTCGCCAGGCTCCGGCCCTGGAAGGGGCGTGTCTCCGCCCTGCCGCTTTCTGGCAGGTCCCTGGCCTCCGGCAGCGGCAGCAGCGGGGCCGAGGCTGCCCGGGCCTGGCCGCCTCACCTCGGCCTAGACCAAGCCGGGGGACCTGGGAGCTGCTCTCTTGGGGAAGCACGGCCCAGAGCCCTCTCTGAGCCCATGCCAGCTTGGGCCTCTGAGGCCCGGGGCAGGGAGCAAACCTGGCTCTCCCCTCCACATAACGTGGATGCGATGAGAGTCGGAGGCGGTGAGAGCCTAAATGACTGTCCTTTTCCGACACCCTCTTCACCGGACGGACAACGGGGACCCCGCTCTCTGGAGGGCCAGCTGACTTCCCCGAAGTCACACGCACAGGCTACTGTTTATACGGAGACGCCCTATGGGCTGGGGTGAGCCCCCCACCCCAGCCCCACCTCAGGGAGGGTCTACCTCTGCAGACACCTGAAAGTCCCAGACATGTCACCCTGTAGAAATAGGCTGAGCCACAGGCGCCTCACGGGATCGGCTGGTCCCTTCTGGGCGTGGGGCTGCACCTGCTGGGCTGTGTTTCAGCCCAGACTTCCCTGGAGGGCTGGAGTCTGCCAGAGCTCTCTGCTGAGAGGCACCCAGGCCCCTTGGGGGCATCTCAGGTCCCAGCCCCGGAGATGGGAGGCCCCACGCAGGTCTCCCCTTGCAGGACCCTCAGGAGCGCTGCAGTCCAAGCCTGCCCCGAATCACTGCAGAGGTCTGGGGTAGCAGCCAGGGCCAGGGAGCCCTGTGGGGCCCAGCAGGGCGGGAACCCCTGCTGACCATCCTTGCAGATGTCTGTGCAGAAGGGCTGAGGGGTCCCCATCCCCCAAGCCCTCAATATGAAGGTGCCCAGTCCCACCCCTCTTTCTGTGGGTGGCAGTTTTTTATTTAAAAAAATTTTTTTTCTCATTTGAGGATATGTTTACTGATTTAGAGAGAGAGAGAGGAAGGGAGAGAGAGACAGAGAAACATCGTTCGGTTGCCTTCGCATCCACACCCCGCGACCAGGAATCGAACCCACCACCTTTCGGTGTCTGGGACAACGCTCCAGCTGACTGAGCCCCTCGGCCAGGACTGAGAGGTGGTTCTAAACCTCAGAAGCCCTGAAAGTCACAGGGGCCTTTTTCAGGTGCTGGCTGCCCCGACTGACGCCCGGCTTAGTAGACTCTTTGGTGTGCGAGAGAGAGGCCTCCTTTTTTTTTTTTATGTCGGAGGTTTCTCGTGCCCCCCTGCTGGGGCAGTGGTTCGTGCTGGTGTTTCGGAAGCAGGGAGAGCGTGCAGACCCCTGAGGAGGTGCCAAGGGTGGACCGCCTTCCTGGAAACACGCGCCCCGTGCCCGTTGCAGTTCCGTTCCGTTGCGGGGCCCCCACCCTCCAGGCCCGAGAGAAGGAGCCCTCAGCCAGACGAGGATGACGTTGGGGCCACTCGAAAGGCATCTGGTCCCACCCCTCATTTCACTGATGAGGAAGCCAAACCCTAGAGGGGAAGTGACTCCCCAGAGCAGGTTGGTCACTGAGCTGGAGGACAAATGACATCTTACGGCTCGCTCAGCTGACAGGACCAACAACAGGTAACCGTCCCCGGGGCCGCTTGGACAAACTGAGGCACAGCGCCACGGACTGACCTCGCTCTCAGGGACAGCAGGTGACTCTCCCCAGGTCAGCCAGGGCTCCTCCGCAGCCGGGGCTCTGTCCACACCTGCCCTGACGCCGGGGGCGGGGGGCAATGTCAGGTGGCGCGGGGGGGCCCTGGCCGTCTCCATGACAGCAGCAGCTGCAGGCGGAGGGCTGGTTTGTCCCGGGTTATCAGTGACATTTCTACGAACCCTCAACTTCCTCCTGATTTGACTCAGGATCGCAGCAGCATTAGGCTGGGGGTGGGGGAGCCTCCCCGTGGGCAGCTCAGGAGCCTTCCCGGGGAGCCCAGCCTCGCGTGCCACACCCGCCCGGCCTGCTCCCCGGAGCCTGCCTGGGAAAGCACCCACAGCCCGAGCTCACGCACTGGCAGGAGCCCCCACTGCAGCCTCTGAGCACGGTGCCTGCCAGCGGTGTCACTTCCCCGCCTCAGTATGCCTCTCTGGGAAAGGGGAACGACAGAAGTTCCTTCCCCATGGGGCTCTCGAGGGCAGTGAGTGAGAAGAGCCCGTGTCCCCTGGGAAACCTTGCTTTCTGCGCTTCCTGAGGACTGGATTGCCCTCAGACCCCGCCCAGGCATCTCTTGGAGAGGCTGGGAGGGGAGATCCAGGGCGCCGGGAACCGTGAGCGCTCTGGGGTCCTTCTTGAGAGGGAGGGGGAGAATGGGAGTCGGGACATGCCCGCTGCCCGGCCTGGGTGACGCTCGGTGCCGCCCGGGGCCCAGGGGGCCGAGGGGTGCAGCGTGCTGCCCAGAGCACCTCTGGTTCTGTCCCATCGCGCTGGCTCTGAGTCCCTGCGGCGCTGCCTAGGACCAGAGCCCTGCCAGTGAGGGAGCCCTTCCCCAGGGCCTGCTTCTGGGCGAGGCACGGGGATGGGGCCCTCGTCCGGGGCTGGCTAGGACACTCACCACAGCACACAGATGACTTTCGTGGCCCCACCTCCGTCACAGCATGGAAATCGTGTCAGATGACACAGGCGGACCAGGGAAGTGGACCTTTGGGCGGAGGGCCGGGGTTCTTAGGAGGGGAGGGGCGGATTCTGCAGGAGAGGGGGAGGGGGGAGGTGGAGTCAGGCACAAACAAGAACGCAGGGAGCTCCTGGGTGTGCCCGTGATGCCGGTGCCGGGCTGGTGCTGGGCTGGGGCTGGGGCGAAGTGACTCAGAATGTGATTTCCAGCAAGGCCCTCGCTGCCTGTTCGACCTTGGATGCAGTCCTTAGCTTCCCCGAACCCATCTGTAAAATGGGTGCAATCATAACAATGGCCCCGGGAATGTAACCAGCTTTTCCTGCAAATCGCTTAGCACCAGACCTTGCACCGTGTCCCCAGAGGCCTTGCTCAGTCAGGTGTAGCCTGGGGAACTTATTTATGGTATCCGCGGCGGATGACTGCATCCAAGTCCATCTTTATATTCCGACTGTGGCATTCAACACTGCACCCACGGGGGAGCCTGGGGTTGCAGGCGAGGGACCTGGATGGGAGGACGCCAGTCCTGGGGAGCATTCCTCCTTAAAGGGCACCCCTCCGGCTGCCCCCGCTCCACTTGGACAGGCCTGGCCCTCCCATCTCCAGCATTCCATGTGGATGAGGGCTTTGGCCACGCAAGACGAGGGCACCTTCTTAGTCTGTGAACCTCCTAAGATTGTATTCTTCCTCTGGCTGGTGTTTTCTGGAAAGTCCAGTCAGCCGATGCAAGGAGCTGGCTTGGTCTGAGTCACACACGGGGGGGTTAGGTGCTCCAGCTGTGCAGACACGGGCCAGGTCTGTCCCACCTGGGATGCTGGGTCCTTGAAGGCATGGACGAGGGGCTGGGTGCACCATGGGGCACAGGCAGCTGCTGGAATCACGGCCCAGAGAGGGCCGAGCTGGCAGGAAGAGAGCCAGCTCCGTGAGGCCACAGGCTCTGGGTCCACAGGGCTGAATAGGGCCACTCGGATGAAAGAGCCCGGATGCAGGCCCCACTGCCAGAGAGAGCCAGGAGCAGAGCCCAGGCCTCCAGATGCCCAGCCCGGTCCCTTTTCATGCCTGGGATGTCTTCTGTCCTCTTCACCCTGGCCTGCTCCTCAGGGCACCGGGACCCCATTCCTGTCATGGCCCGCGGGGTCAGGCAGAGGAGCGTGTCTTGAGCGCTGGAGAATGCTAATACGTCCATTCCCCTGGGGTTTGGAGCAGCTCAGGTCCCCTCTTCTGTGCTGTAGCTCCCTAGCCCTTCCCTGTGCAGCCCCGCAGCCAGCCAGCCAGCCTCCCGAGCCCGGGGTGGGGGATCAGAGCAGGGCCTCTTCTGGGTTCTCTAATTGTGGCCAGGGTTCCCCTCCCTCCCCCCATCTCCCCTGTTTACAAGAACGCCCAGGAATCCCCGCGTTCCTGTAAGCTGTGACTGCATCAGTGTTTTGCAGAGAAGTACCGGCTCCCGTCCAGTGTGTCAGCAACGCACTTCTGGTTTTCTCTGAGTCACTCATGATTTAAGAGACTACTTAGGAGAATGCACAAAAATGCCTTCGGTGTATTACTAGCTGTTTCCTTCATGGTCTGAGAAGAGAAAGGTGGAGTTGCCATGGCCCTGGAGTGCTCGGCTGGGCCCAGGAGGAGTGGGATAGATTGGGCGGGAGACCCTTGTCCTCTCCCAAAGAGAGGGCATCCCCTTGATTGATGATTTCGTCCTCACTGACCTGCCAGTCGTACCTCATCCATGATTGGGCCGTTCAGAGCTCTGAACTTCTCCGTCTGCTTGATCCACGCTATTCCCTCCTCCCTGCAACAGAATCTCCGTTTCAAGTTCTCTTTGCATTTCTGGCCTGCCCCCATTAGGTACTTCCTCGCTATGCTCGTTGGGACATAAATCAAGTGTCTCATGTTTTAATGATTTATTATAACTTATACCTTTGTGGAGTCTCTGTGTTACTCTATTGATTCCTTTACTAAAAGAAAAAAAATTACATTGTTACAGTGGCTTCTTTTCAAGTGACTGTGTGCCTGAAAACCCATAGATTATCCTAACCTTTTCCTCTGTCTACGTCTTTTTTTTTTCTGTGTTTCTTATCCACAAAAGATGATTAGGTTTTGCCCTGGCTGGTGTAGCTCAGTGGATTGAATGCAGGCCTGTGAACCAAAGGGTTGCTGGTTTGATTCCAGGTCAGGGCACAACTGGGTTGCAGGCCAGGTCCCCAGCTGGGGGCATGTGAGAGGCAACCACACACTGATGTTTCTCTCCCTTTCTTTCTCCTTCCCTTCCCCCACTCTAGAAATAAATAAAATCTTTAAAAAATAAAAGATGGTTAGGTTTTGATTTTTAGAACGGATGCCCCTTTTTATACGGAAGTATTACACTTGTTAGGGAATGTTATAATTACATTACAATGGTTATGTTTGTATAAACTCCAGGGGAGTGCTCCTTTGCTTTCTATACTGAGACAGTTCCTTTTTTCACTTTCAGTTTCTGTAATGAATTTTCTCTTCTTTTTGCCCCTTTAAAATACAAGTAATATAATGGAAATGTCCAATTTAGAACACGTTGTACTTCTGCATTGTTTCTATGAATAGCTCTCCAAACGTTGTGAAAATTATACTCGAATACCTTGCCTTCCCTTTCACCCAGGCATCACTGTTGATACGGCATTTGGCATCTCCTATACGCTGTTCTTTACTCTCAATGCCACGTACAATCTCTATGGAGTAATAGCGGGCCTGTGGACAGACCACGGAGCAGGTGCTGACGCCATGCTCATTTCTCAGGTGGCACCTGCTTTCAGTGACCTGTCCCTTGCAACTCTCTGTCACTCAGGCCTTGTCTTCAGATGCTACACCTTGAAATGTTCATCTGTGACCTGCCAAGATTGTGCCTCATCTGCTGAGCTAGTTAGTTTCAATTTTCTTTTTTTTCTTAAAGATTTTATTCATTTTTTTTTTTAGAGAAGGAAGGGAGGGAGATATAGAGAGAGAGAAACATCAATGTGCAGTTGCTGGGTGTTATGGCCTGCAACCCAGGCATATACCCTAGCTGGGAATCGAACCTGTGACACTTTGGTTTGCAGCCCACGTTCAATCCACTGAGTTACGCCAGCCAGGGCTCAATTTTCTTTAAATTTTGTGTAAACCTTCCTCCTGCACCTGCCTCAGACATACACCAAGACTTTTCTTCTTTTGCAGGAAAGTCAAAAGCTATTTTTCCCTTCCTTTTCTCCAATATTTAATACAATTTTAAAATTTACATTGTTTTCATATGTTAATCAATCAATTAAAATGAGAGAGAGAGAGAGAGAGAGAGAGAGAGAGAGAGAGATAAAAGGTTTAAAATTCACCCAGAATTTTACTGTTAAAACGCAACCTGTGTTTAATGCATGGGAACTTTTTTCTAGGCTTTTTTTCCTAAGCATGGGTTTTATTAATCATAGTTGAAACACTCTCTGAATGTGTAATTCTGTAATATTGTGGAATTTTTATCTAACATAGCGTCAACATGACAGAAACATTTTCCACTGAGTAGATTTACCAAAGTGAAAATAAGCTCTTGTTGGCATGTAGGGGTGTGTGTGTGTGATTTTTGCTCTCAGAAAAAAAAATGTTCAAGTGAACATACTTCTGTACACCATGTTTCCTTCTTTTGCATAATTTACTTAAAGTAAATTTTCAGAATCACTGCAGGAAAGACTCACAGGATTTCTGTGGCTGGCAGAGTAAGTGATCAGGTCCCCGAATGTGTGTACCCAGCACGCCGGTGACAGTGTCATGAAACCCACACAGTCCGGTGCCTGTTTATCTACTGTGGGTCTTGATATTATGCCTCATTTTTATACTCTTCTTCGAGAAAGAACATCACTTATCTAACATCTGGAGCATTTTCTTTCTTCCAGCATATTACTTGAGGTCACATTGTTCCAACAGAAATGTTCCTGACGCTGTGCAGCCATGCTTGCGTCTGTGTTCTGAGCCTCGGTTTTGTCGTCACTCTGAGCGGACGGAGCTTTTCCCGGTCCTCACTTCCACACCTTGTTACATGTCCTGTGGCTGGATGTTCTGACACGCCCTTCCTTCATGAACCTGGACTTTCTTTTGCTCGACAGTGTGACGTGAGGACCTAAGTGGGTTTTTACTGATAGTTGCAACCTCCTTTGTCGACCAAGACTTCCATTTGTATTATTTATTCTCATTTCGGTTCATCGTCTTGGTGCTTTTCTCCTTCTTAGTTCTGTTCCTTGTCTTGGGGCACATTTGGAGCTTCTGGATGTCGGCAAGTGTCTTGGCTGTTTCAACGAGAAGGCCTGTTTTTTAAAAAACCATGAAAGACAAAGTTCATCACGTGCAGGAAGCATCCTTCTGGTCCTTCGTGTAAATGACAGTTGTGGGAAAAGTACCCACCAATACGAGCAGAGGGCTTTGCGTTTCTGCTTCAGTGATGGAACAGATCACCTCACCCTGAAACGGTGTCACCTTCCGGAAATCTGACTGGGCCCTCCCAGCAACAGCTCTGCTCTTTCGTGCTGCGACTGTCAAACTTTGATATTTGGGTAAGTTCGTTTCATAACATGAATTCATCAAAATTATCGTATGTTCTGAGATTATTCCTAGAGCCTGGGGATTAGCTGTCTCTTGAACTTTCACGTAGGCTAGGGCCTGCTGACTCATTCTGCGATCACGTCCTCAGCGTTCTCACTGCCGTGGGGCTGATCCACACTTCTGCCAACTTGTGTGTCAACCGCGGTGAGTTGCGTTTCACTCCCAGACCATCGGCTGCGGGAAGGTTTCTAAATGGATGAACACACAAGGGATGAGGCCGTTTCTTCCTAGTTTTTCTCTTCTCTCCATCTAAGTTTAGTGCTTTCTTCCTTATTTCTAGTTATGGTCCTTCGAGTCTTTTTTTTTTTTTTAAGGTACTGTCTTCTCATTTATTTATTTATTTTTTATTTTTAAAAAGATTTTATTTATTTATTTTTAGAGAGGGAAGGGAGGGAGAAAGAGAGAGAGAGAAACATCAATGTACGGTTGCTGGGGGCCGTGGCCTGCGACCCAGGCATGCACCCTGACTGGGAATCGAACCTGAGACACTTTGGTTTGCAGCCCGTACTCAATCCACTGTGTTATGCCAGCCAGGGCTGAGTCTTTTTTCTTGATCATGGTTGTTGGAGATACAGACTTTGTTTCATTTACTCCTCTCTCCGGGGAGCAGCTCTCAAATTTATTAACTCTGGCATATCTTCCTCTTCCTTAATTCATTTATTTCTGCTGTAATCTTTATCATTTTTTTTCTCTGATTTCTCTAAGACTTTTTTGGTTTTTTTTTCTTCTTAATGTTCACATTGAACGCTTAGTCCATTTATTTAGTTTCCTTTTGTAAAAAAAAAAAAAAGATGAAGCTTTTGCAGGGGTGGTGTGGCTTGTGTGCTGGGTGCGAAGTGTTGCTGAGCGGCAGAGCGGCGTATGCTGTATGAGAATGTGAGGCTGGATGTGCTCTGCTGACCTGTGAGGCCAGGAGCACTCACGGGCGGATGCGGAGGCAGCGGCGCAGTTGGCCCGGTTCACACCACGGTGCTCTGTCTCACTGAGACAGAGAGCTCTAAGCATTTTCACAGAGGAAAGAAGAAATACGAAGGCTCTACGTCTGTAACAGTCAACGGCTCGTGGCCATTAGAATATTTCCCACAAAGAGAAAAGGAGGCTGCTAGGGCCGGGTTTCTCTCGGAGTAGGTTCGGCTGCATCCTGTGGAATTGCTTGTTAAACAGCCCAGCCAGAAACCTCTTGTCATTCCCGATTATGGGCCACACATTTTGTCTTGTGCTTCTGACGTGACCTATTTGTAGGAGCCACTTCCATTTTTTAATGTCCTAAGAGTCTGTGTACTGTGGTCAGAGAATGTAGCCAATGTAATGTCTCCTTTTCCTTTTTTTAATGGGAGGTTTTATTCTTGCTAGGCAGATAATTATTTTGACAACTGTTTATTGAATATTTGAGAAAAAGTGGATTACCTACTGCTTTAAAACCCAATCCAGCTCTGGCTGGCGCAGCTCAGTGGATTGAGTGCCGGCCTGCGAACCAAAAGGTTGTCAGTTCGATTCCCCAGTCAGGGCACAGCCCTGGGTTGTGGGCCTGCTCCTGAGTTGGGGGCGTGCGAAAGGCAACCAATCACCGTATCTCTCACACATCGATGTTTCTCTCTTTCTCCCTTCCCTCCCCTCTCTCTAAAAATAAATTAAAATCTTTAAAAAAAATAACCAATCCAAGAGCTATGAATTAAATTATATTCATTATACAGGGCCTGGCACAAATAATGGCCCCTTTTTATGAAATAAAAGTCTTTTATTACAAAATCATAAGCATGTGATTTGGTAACACAACAATGTCACACTCCAGCACACCACACGACATCTTAGGTGAAACGTTCAAATTGCTGTCCATTGTGTGCGAAACATTCACGTCCCCTACCGGCCACACTCAGTGATGTTACTTCTGCCGGATCCTGTATTACTTCTATAATTCTATATCCTAATTTGTATTTCGCCTACTTCATGTGTTCAAATTGACACTTTACTAAAGTCTGCCACTACATCGTGTCATTGCCAGTGTCTCTTGGGATGCTATTTTACTTGAGGTACTTCCATACAATGTCATTCACTGCATACAATCGCAATGTTTGTCTTCAGTTTTTCTTTTAACATAAAACCACCTTCTTAATCCTGATGTGTGGCTTTATTCTTTTTAAAAATTTTTTTTTAAGATTTTATTTATTTTTAGAGAGAGGGGAAGGGAGGGAGAAGGAGAGGGAGAGAAACATTGATCGGTTGCCTCTCCAATGCGGACCAAACCCACAACCCAGGCATGTGTTCTGATCAGGAATTGAACTGGTGACCTTTTTTTTTTTGCAGGATGACATCCAACCCATTGAGCCACACTGGTCAGGGCATAGCTTTATTCTTAAATTCTCCAATGCTGGGTACAAACATGACCACTCTTTGTTTCTGTGTGTTGGCTGTATCATCAAGTGGCTCTTGCTGTCTGTCACAGGTGGGCACAGGTAACCAGGTTCTTGGTGATCGGAACGAAGAATTGAACCGAACACCCAGAGTTTATAGCAGAGAACATGGGAGCAGGCCAACTCCAAGCAGAGACTGACCTCACAGGCTGGAGGGATTCTACTCTTACAGGGCGGATCCTTCCTGGCTAGTTTTGGCGGGCTTTTAGTGCACATGTGATCTCCCATGATGTTCCTTGATTGGCCACCGGAGAAGGGGTCACACAATGTTACCAAATGGACCCCCCTTCTCTTTGGTCCCCCTATACTAGGTTCGTCTTGCCTGCTGCCAGGGAATTATAGCTCCTGATGTCAGAGATAGGTGAAAAGGAAAAATTATTTTTTCAAAAATTACACAGACTTGAGTAATGACTCAATGTCTTCATTAAACCCCCAAGTCCCTTAAAACACCCACAAACACATGCAGTCCTTCCTTCCCCCTTTTGCCTGGTCTGGGGAACCGTATCTCAGGAAAAGAAATACAAGTCCGTGGCTCAGGCAACCCCCAGTTCTTCCCAGTAATCCGTGCTGGGCTGGTAGGCCGCCCTCAGTTCCCAGTACCATCAGCTGTGTCAGCAGGATCTCCAGTTCTTAATCCAAAACCACGTTGCACCTTCTCATGGCCCACCAGCAAGAGTCCTTTCACCCCTTTCCCTATCATAGTTTCTCTCCTGCATTCTTCCAAACTGCTAAGAGAGAGCTCTGCATCGCTGCTACATCTTGCTTTCTGGCTTCCTACGCTACGTGGCAAAGGGAGACCCAAAGCTGAATGGTTCCTCTCGCCCTGGCTGCTGTGCCTGGGTTTAAATCCCAGCTCCGGTCTTCCTCTGCAGCCTCAATTCCAACTCCTCCCACAATTGGCTACACCTGCCAGCATTCCTGTATTTTTTTTCTAGCTTTTCTGGGCTGCCATAGTAAGTCCGGGCAGGCGTGGCCCTCATGGCATGGAACCAATCATCTCCAAGCTCTCACGCAGGCTCTGTAACTGGGGGGCATTGCCTCCCAGTTACATCCTGGGTGGAAGTCACTCCCAGCTCCCTGGCTCAAAGCATGGCCATAGCTGTTTAACATATCCATGAAACCAGTTAAAGGTTATAAATACATTAAATCACCATTCTAGAGGTTATTTGCGAAACCATTGCTATTCAAAACAATTCTCAATGGCCTTGCTCCATGTGTCCCATCCCCTAGTTCAGACTTGTGGGGGTGAGGACATCCTGTATTTTTAATATTTCTTGGATACCCTGAGCTCTGGACCCCATTACAAATCCTTCTTTGGGGGGCCCCCTGGCTGCACCCCCTTACACTGCTGTGAATAAGCGTGCTCTTCACAAGCAACAAAGAATTGAATGTTATTTCATAACTGAGCTGCAAACATTAGTTAATAAAGGAAAGTTTGAATTTTTCTTATTTTTTGTTGTAATTTCCGTGCTTGGTTTCTGTTTTCATTCTATTTACTCCTTTGCTTGGTAGGCTGATTTGTTTGCTCGTTTCTCTTTATCTGATTTATCTCAAAAATCACTGTTTTCAACAGTCAGTAGTTAATTCAAGGTTAGAAAAAATCTTGTACTTTTTTATCATTATCAAAGTTGAAAAAACAGAACAATAACTTTTCATTTCCTTTTACGGGATATTGGCCTTGCCCCTGTCCCCTTAGTCCGCACCATTTCCGCCCCCTGTAACCCAAGGACACACTTCTTTGTCGTTAATCTCTCTAAGGGATAACATCCTACCTTTTTCAAAGGACACAGATGATTTCTTTCCCTGCTTTTTTTTTCTTTTAATTTTAACTTCAAACTACATTCATTATCACGAAAGTCCCTTTCCACGGTCTCCTGCTTTTGATGCTCAGCGCCAAGCTTTTCCACTGTGATGTTTTCATCCTCCATTGCCCTCACTTCTGGGAGGTCTACATCGTGTGGCCTCTTGGAGGCAACGTGTTGGTGGAAGCCACATGACCCTGAGGGTGGCTTTCTGTGATCTTCACACCTGACCGGCAACCCGACCGGGCTTGAAATTCTGTGTTTAAATGCTCCTCCTTCTAATATTTCCTCGTGCTCATGGTTGTTTTTCGGAGAGGTTTCCAAGGAGCTGGGTTTGTTATTCACGGATGCGTGTGAATAACACACAGGTTCTCTGTTAATGACATTTAAAGAGGCAAACGAAACCCCTGGGAGTGGCTGTCTTTCCACTATTTTGCATGAAGCGTACTTCCTCTTATCCAAGTTCTCATCTTCTCTGTGGTTGAATTCAGCCCCACCTCTGAGGCCCTGAGCTGCTGCTGACTGACCAAGGTCATCTTGGGCCCTTGGGTCAGTTCAGACCTGATTTGCTTGACCCCATGACCTTTCCGCATTCAATTCTATTTCCTCATTGGTATGAGGCTGGGACCAGGGTCCAGTCAAATCCTCCTCTGAGGCCAAGGGCCCCACCGACCCTGCTACAGAAAAGATAACGCACTGCAGATGGTCTTGCTGGGGGCCGTCGCTGGGCACGGTGCCCCTGCAGCCTGCACCACACTAACCAGATTCCGACATCGATGGAAGCGTGGGGACGGCCTCTGTGGTGGCTGCCAGGCGGCTGCTCCAAGCCCAGCTCTGCCCACAGCGCCACAGTGAAGCAGACGCTGAAGCCTGGCTCTTCCTGGGCTGCCTCCAGCCAGTGCCTGAGCCTGGCGGAGGTGCCTGTCCTGGGTGGGCTTTGCTCAACCTGGGGCCCCTCTGATGGGCCTCCTATGCTTAGAGGCTCCCCGTAGTTGGCATGGTGTTCTCAATCCCCCGTGTGAGGGCGTCAGGAGGTGGGAATTTGGGGAGGCAATTAGGGCTAGAAGGGGGAGACCTCATGGATGAGATTAGTGCCCTTCTGTGAGAGCGCAGAGAGCTCGCTCACCCTTCCGGCCGTGGGAGGACACAGCGAGAGGTGGGCAGTCCGCACCCTGGAAGAGGGCCCCCACCGGACCGTGCTGGCACCCTGGTCTCGAACTTCCAGCCCCCAGGGCTCTGAGAAAGAAGTTTCTGTTGTTTCGAAGCCTCCCATTCTGTGGTGTTCCGTCACAGCCGCCCAAACTAGGGTCGCTATCCACCTCGACAGAAAGCTTCACGATGGCATCCCCACACTGGCCACACTTTTAAGGACGACCTGGCCAGGGCTTGCCTAGAACCCTGGTCTTTGGCCTGATCAGAAGCTCTAACTTGGGACCCTGCCTCATTGTCTGCCGGCACTCAGCATTGCAGAGCAGCGCGCCCGCACACAGCCTGGTCCTCCTGTCCCTGGGGCCAGTTCTAGTTTCCCCACCTGTCCAGCGGCCTTTCTGTGCCCCGTGGAGACTCAAGCCCTTACTTCATTCCCTCTGGGAAGGTCCTTCCTTCCATATTTCTCCCTTTTCTTTCTGGCTTTGTCCTTGGGGTAGCAAGAGGTTACGACATCTCCACCCCTTATATCTTCCCAATTTTGAGTCGCAGGAAGAGCCCCATCCTCCTTCCTAGAAACCCACGCAAGAAATTCACTGCTTTTCATTGCCTCTGGGTGAGTCAGATGTCCATCCCGGAACCAAAGAACCAGTCCGCCAGGCAGGGTCGACTCTGCCGAACCTTCGGGAACGTGGGCAGAGCAGAGCCGAGAGAAAGAGAGCTCCCGTCAGCCCTGCCTTAGTTTCCACGTCTTCGGTTATGTTTAATTCTCTCTCTGCTTAAACCAGTTTGGCTCAGGGTTTGTGTCATTGTTCCTACTTTCAACGGAAGGAGCTCTGATGGAAAAAAGAGACATGTTCATGCACAGTTTCATTTTCATAAAAGAGAAAGGCACACACACGTATGCATATTGTGTGTGTGAGAAAAGGGTCTGGAAGGACACACCTGAAGGAGGAACAATAGTTATATCTCAGCAGCAGAATTAGAGGCAAGTTTGCTTGGCTGTCATTGTTATTCGATGGGCATGAATTGCTGTGTGATACAAGGGAAACGTTTATTATTCTTGACAGAGTCGATGGAACTCGCCCCTTGTAGAGAGTGAGAGGAACTTCATCTAACCCTGTTTGATGTTTCAGGGAAGAACATGAGCCAGTCCGACAAAAATGGGAACTGCTCCTCTCAGGACGTGGACCGGCTGATGCAAATCGTGCAGGTGGTGGTCCACGTCCCCACCTTCCTCCTGGGCCTCGTCCTCAATCTGCTGGCCATCCGGGGCTTCTGCGCCCTCCTGAAGAAGAGGTTGCTGGAATATGTTGCCACTTGCACCTACATGATCAACCTGGCGGCCTTTGACCTGCTGATGGTGCTCTCCCTCCTGTTCAAGATTGTCCTGTTCTACGTGACGCCCCCCTTTCCATCCCTGTGCAGCTTGGTGGAGGGCCTCCACTTCATCAGCATGTACGGCGGCATCTTAACAGTCTGCTTCATCAGCCTGGATAGATACTTGGCCATCCAGTACCCGTTCCTGGCCAGCCACTGCCGGTCCCCCAGGAAGACCTTCGGGATCTGCTGCGCCATCTGGGTCCTGGTGTGGGCCGGGAGCATCCCCTTCTACAACTTCAGCTGGGAAGAAGGAAGGTACACGTGCTTCAACAATATGTCCAGTAAGGTCTGGAGTGCCAACATTGTCTTCCCCGTCGAGGTGTTTGGCTTCCTTCTTCCCATGGGCATCATGGGCTTCTGCTCCTACAAGAACATTCACATTCTGGTCAGCCGTCGGGACACCAACCCGGACCTGACCCGGAAGAAGAAGGCCTGCATCTGGACTATCGCATCCAGTCTGGCTGTTTTCGTGGTCTCCTTTCTCCCAGTACACATAGGTTTCTTCCTGCAGTTCCTGGTAAGAAATGAGTTTATTTTGGAGTGCAGAGTTCGGCAGAACATCACCTTCTTCGTGAAATTGTCCATGTGTCTCTCCAACGTCAACTGCTGCCTGGATGTTTTCTGCTATTACTTTGCCATCAAAGAATTCCGCATGGGCATCAGGTCCCGGCAGAACTCCAGAGACCAGCTGGAGCTGGACTTCTTGCAGACCAGGACTACTGTGGCTGGGGAGAGAAAGCCGTCCGCAGAGAAAGGAAACTGCAGCCTTGTACCCTAGTGGCAGACATCCTGTTCCAGGACCTTGCTGGGGTGGGAGGACGCGTGGTGCATGACTGGTGTGCTTTCCCTTCACACGCTCAGTGAACGCTGTGTCCGCTCGTTATGCCCCCAGAGACCTCCCCGCACACCTAGACAGCTCAACGTAAATCACGCAGTGTTTGGAGATTTCTGATGAACCTGAGAACCAGGTGAATTCTTGACCGCTAAGCCCAAAAAGTATGAGGCAGAAAAATGAGAAAGAAAATGAGACCATCTGAACAAGGCCACCTCTCCTCTATCTCCTGCTAGGCTGGAAGTTTCTGGAAAGGAAAGGGGAGAGGAGTTGAGCGAGAGAATCAAGGTCAGTCATGGTGGCAGGGGCCCTGGGTTGAGACGCAGTGGGAGGCGAAAGGGTGAAGCCGGAGCCATTGGCTATGGTGGCACCATTTGCTGAGCAGGCCTGTGACCTTGTTAGACAGGACTGCCGCCGGTTTGCTCTTCTGAGTGCGTCCCCAGGACTGGACACGACTGGAAAGCGAGAACAGAGCGTGACTAACCGCTCCCTGCAGCCATGGGCAGCAGATAACACTGGAACAAACAGCAGCCTCCGGTTCCGACCAGCAGCCCAGGGGCCACACAGCAGCACCCCCACCCTTTGTAATCTAATTATAATCCAGTACGAGCTCAGAGCCCCACCCCCTCAACAGCGGTGCATCTCTCCACTCCATGCCCCTCTCCTTTCTTGGAGAGTGAAAACAAGCTTTCTTCTCTGCGCTTTCTTCTCCTTGTGAATTCTCTCCCAGCCCGCATCACCAACCCACCCCATAACAGTAGGGACGCATCAAGCTCCTTTTTAGTTTGCAGGGCGGAGCAGACTTGCATTTTCCAGTCCCTTCTGGGGCTCTGTTGGCCAACGACCTTGCAGAGATGACAGCAAGTGGTGGGGGTGGGGTGATCATGGTTTGAGCAAATACACACAGAGAACCCCAAGTTTCTTACAGGCTTTTGAAAGGCTGGGGAGACCCATGAGAAGGTTGTGGAAGGGAGAACGGGGCTGGTGTGGTGCAGCTGCAGATACTTTGTGGAAGCGGTGGGGACAGAGTGGGTAGCTGTTGGTGACGCTGAGAGCCAGGAGGGTATAGAACATACTGGGGAGGGGAGGACACGGGCCAAGGGCAGCTCCTGCCCCATTGCCACGGGGCGGCGCACTGCCTGGAGCTTTGGCACTGGCCTGGGAGAGGAGAGGCAGGGTGACCAGCCTTGGGGGAAAGGACCTTCCCAGACCCGACCAGCTTGCTCTCTTGAACAGGCTCATTAGACTTAGTTCCCCTGAGAACGATGGGAAAGAATCAGGCTGGATTTGGTTCGGCCAGAGGAGAAGAAGGAACAGATGTTCATCTTGCCCGCCTGAGTCCTGGCTGGGCAGCTGGTCACAGTGGCGCTGTCCGGGGAGCTGTCCTCTCCAGTGGCCGGGGACGGGGAGAAAACGAGTCAGCCAGGAATGGAGGACCCACCTTGCGGGCACCAGGCTCTTGGCAGTTTCTAGCTGGAAGCTGGAAACCATTGAAGCTCGGCTTGGCTGGGGCTCCTGTGGTGATCAGAAGGAGCAGCAGTGACAGCTGGGAGCCTTCGGTGACTCAGCAGCCCCAGAGAGAGAGAGACGGTGACACGGGTTCATGAAACGGCGGGGCGGTTTTGCAGGACAGAGTGAGATGAGGAGTGACAAAGGGAGACAAAGGGAAGGTTTTCCCGGAAGAAGAGCAACAGCCTCCTACCTGGGGCACGGGAGGGAGGGGTGGCCGTGCGGGAGGAAGGGGCAGTTTAGAGAAAACCCTGATGGGAGGAAGAGGGGAGGCCGGGCGACTGACTGCCCAAGCCTCCATGACGATGACATGGAGTTCTGTGAGGAAGTGGGGCGGGCAGGAGGGGTCGAGGGCCCAGCCGCTTCCCACCTGAGACTCCCCAACTTCACTGAGAGCCTGGAAGGGCGGGAGCCCTTCCGCTGCCCCCCTGCAGCTGACTCAGTGGTGGGGGGGCGCTCCGTGGGGCAGGAGGGAGGGGTGAGGAAGGAAGCATCAGTGCCAGGGTGTCCATAGGGGGGCAGGACTGATCCTGCCCAGGACCAGGGGCTCCTGCCCCTTAAACCGGACCTCCGGGGGCCAGCAGCCAGAGCCAGGGGCTCTACAGAGCTAGAAGTTTCCCCAAGCCCTGGGCACTGCCCTCCCGGCTGGAGGCCGCACCGTCCGTGGCCGTCCTGGACAGAGGCGCACCTGTGCTACTCTGAGGAAGCCGGGCTGTGGTGCCCGGCAGGGCACGTGGGGCTGGGCTGGGCTCAGAGCCCAGGGCCGGGTGGAATTGGGGACCACCCCACCCCCAATGTCTCCTTTTGCATTGGGAACTGGGAGCTCACCAACGGGTGCCCCCCATGCTGCAGCTTGTACCCACCAGTGTGCTTGGGGCCGGACAGTCCTCCTAAGAGAAAGGGACACAGGCCCTGAACAGCCACCATCCCCAGTGTTGTCTGTACCCATAAAATCTTGGGCTGTGGGGGCAGCATGGCCCTGCCTGAGCCAGGTGACAGGAAAGATGGGAGGGGAATCTTGAGTCAAGAGTTGTGTACCTATGCAGAGAGAAGGCGAGAGAGAGAGAGCTGTGTAACTGTAAGGTCTAGGCCCTGGGAGCGTCTAGCAGCCTTGAGTTGACGTGACATCTGTGGACTAGTGGGGGGCACCTGGGGACCCCTTGACCGATCCTCATACACGGAGGGGAGGAGACGGGCTTCTTCTGTCTCCTCATGGGGACTCACCCTGGCCTGAAAGTCACAGAGGACCCATCAGGGCCCAGCTCTGTGTCAGCACTTGGACCCTGTGGGCAACGGAGAGGCAGAGGGTCAGGGTCATGGTCAGGGTCAGGGTTAGGCTACGGATGTATCCGAGAGCCTGATCCCACAGCAAGTGGCAGCCAGTGACTTGGAAAACCTTGAACTCAGTTTTGGAAAAGGCTTAAGTTCCTGCTCCCAAAGCTGGTGGAACCTGGAGATGTTTGGCCATAAGCGTGACCTTATTTGTACTCCTAGAAAACCTAAGCCATACTTCTTGCTTGTATATGTGTGAAATTAGCACAATTAATTGGAAAAAACCACTTGATTCATCTGATTTGCCAAGTAAATAGATTCCTGTGATACTGTGTGACCTTGTCTTGGCCTGTACTACTGGCTCCTCAGTGTCCTTGCCAGGTGACCCAGCAGTCAGCGTTGGAGGGACAAGATCGAAGGGGCCACCGGGACACCCAGCGTGTGAGCAGAGAGTCACCCCCAGGCCTGGCCCGGGGGGCAGAGCCGGCCGGCCCCAAGCGGCCAGCAGCCAGAATCCGCAGGGTCTGACGGCGAGTCCCCAGGTCCACTTGAGTCCTTGGTTCTCTGGGATGGCAACGGGGCCACACAGACCCCACAGGACCTGCTGGGCTCCCTCCAGCACCGAGCCCACCCCTGTTTCCTGCCACCTCACCCCACCGGCTCCAGAAGGCAGAAGCCACTCTCAAAGGCCCGGGCTCCTCTGCTTACACCGCGTGGCCCAGCACCGTGGACCTGCTGGCACGGCCGGCCCTCCGCAAGTCCTCCGCGGCCCTGGCCGCCCACAGAAGGGGGCCAGCTCTCCCTGGTCAGATCTGGATTTTCCTTCACGGCTCCTCACACACGAACCTGCTAACCTGTCCAGACCTCCTGGAGAAAGTATCTGCTGGGCACTGGCCCCCCTCCCTCTGGACTCCCCCACATGCCCGAGCACAGCTAGTCAGGCGTGGGTGCCCAGGACCTCCCCTGACAGCTGCTGTGGACTGAGTTTCCCCCCCTCCCGCATCCATACGCGGAAGCCCTGATCCCGGGTGTGCTGGGGACTTTGGGAGACACTTAGGTTTGCACGAGGTCCTGAGGGTGGAATCCTCATCATACCCACCTTATAAGAAGAAACACCAATTTAATTTAAAAAAATAAAATAAAATAAAAGCTCTGGCCTGGTGGCTTGGTTGGTTGGACCATCGTCCTCTACACCAAGAGGTTTTGGGTTCCATTTCCGGTCTGGGCACATACCAAGGTTATGGGTTCAATCCTCGGTTGGGGTGCATTCAGGAGGCAACCAATCAATGTCTCTCTCTCACATCGATGTCTCTCTCTCTCTTTCTCTCTCTCTGAGAAATCAATAAATGGTCCTGGTCAGTGTGGCTCCACTGGTTGGAGCACCGTCCCATAAACTGAAAGATAGTCGGTTTGATTCCTGGTCAGGGCACACACCTGGGCTGCAGGTTTGGCCCCGGTTGGGGTGCGTGCAAAAGGCAACCAATCCACGTTTCTCTCCCACGCAGGTGTTTCTCCTTCTCTCTCCCTGCCTTCCCCCCTTCTCTAAGATCAATAAGTGTGTCCTCGGGTGCGGATAAAAAAAGAAAAGAAAATCGATGAACATATTCTCTGGTGACGATTAAAAAAGGAACAAGAGAAACCAGAGCATTTCCTTCCTCTCTGTCTCTGCAGCTGCGCTTACGGAAGAAAAACTGTGCGAGGACACAGGGAGAAGGCGGCTGCCCATGACCTGAGGAGACAGCCCTGAGCAGATATCAGCCCTGCCGGCTCCTCGGCCTTGGACTTCCAGCCTCCAGAACCATGAGAAATGGGGAGGCTTTAACAACATCTGTGTGGTTAAAGCGCCCCCCATCTGTGGCCCATTGTTTGGCAGCCCAGGAAGGCTCATGCAGCAGCCAAAGCCACCTCCCAGCTGGGCCCTGCACCCTCAGGGACCAGAACGGAACCTCCCTTGCGCTGTGGCCCCCCCTGGGAGCAGCTGACGTGGTGACTGCGGCTCCACAAGCTGCGCCTGTCAGCTGCATCCCTCTCCAGCCCCTCTCTGGGAGCCCTGTGAAGCTGGAAGTCACTATGTTAATGCTGCACAAGCGTGACGGGGCACTAATGGCATTTCAAATAGTTCAGACGCGGCCTGGTGGTGAGTTGCCACAAGTAAACGGTAATTGCATGGAGGAGTGAAGTGGCTGAGACTGTGTAAGCGGCTGCAGGGGCAGGACTGAGGAAAGGACTCTGTGAACAGGTCCCCGAGGACAGAAACTGGGAAGAGCCACGGTGCAGGTGTGGGGACAGCCTGGTGAGCGGAACAGTAACTGGGGACGAACGGAAGCGTCCCCCCGTAGGAACCGCGTGGACGTGATGGAGAAGCCCACACTGCCCAGCCCCCAGTCCCTCCCAGGGGTGGGCTGTGCTGCGGACAGCAACCTTCCAGGGCCTGGAGAGGCAGCGGAGGCCACTCTGAGCGCCCCACTGATGAGGAGGCAGGGGACTCAAAGGCCCACAAGTGATGCTTTTGGGGGTGACAGCCCCCTCTCGCTTTTTCCCACCCAGAGCTGCCTCCACGAGGGAGCCGGGGACACAGAGCCCTGAATGGGCTTTTGAGGGGGTGTGGATGGCAGGCAAAGGTGGACTCTAGGGCCTTCAGGTGGAAGGACAGACATCCCTCCTCCCCCACACAGGCCTGAGCATCCCATCCCCCGCCAGGAGCCTGTGAGGTCTGTCCCCTCGCAAAGCCACTGCAGGAGGGGCCACGTGGCATTTGAACTGCTGGCCAGCCAGCCAGCCAGCCAGCCGAGACCTAAACTTGGCCCTCAGCTATTTTAAGTTTTTCAGAGCTAGAATGCGAAGCGCTGTCACTTCAAAGCCTGACACTAATTAGTTCTGCTAGGTGCAGGGGCCCTGCATTGGCTCTGAGGTCTCCGGCAGCCTTTGTTCTGGCGGCTGTGCCTGGAACAGAAGTAACCAAGGCGCTGTCTGGGAGGCTGTCTGCGAGCGAGGCTGCGGAGACGGGGCGCCCACAGTCACGAACAGGCACCAGAGTGGGCGGCCGTGCACCGCCCTCTGCAGAGTGCGCTCCCTGTGGCCCTGTTTCCAAAGGTAGCCCCATTGGGGGGTTGGGCCTCCAACGTATGAATTTGGGGACACAGTTCAGCCCCTGGCATGTGGGTTTACTCTGTGACCTGGAGTTGAAGAAGTCTTGGGCTTTGTTTGTTTCTCCAAATTGAATGTAACCCACTGTGAGCTCATCAGTGGTCCTGTAGGACCCTCCAGCTCCTACATCTGGGGCCCTGCCCTCTCCCAGGAGGTAGGGGTCCTGCCCCAGCACAGCTGCACTCTTTGCGGAGGCCTCTGAGGCCAGCTTGCACTGGTCCCTGAGCAGGCCTGAGGCTCCCTTCAGCCACCCTGCCGCTCTGCTCCGCGGGGGCTCTTCTCCGAACCCGGCTTGGGAAGCTGGCAGTCTAACCTCTCCGAATCTGGCCGCACTCCCCTCTGCTCCCCACCCCCCAGCAGTCCTGCAGGGATTTCTCCTTCTGGCCTCCAGCTTCTGCAGCCCAGCTTCTGCAGCCCAGCTTCCTTTCCAGGCCGCAGTCGCTGTGCCTGGCTGGCCCTGATGGACAGTGCCCCCTGCTGTCCATGCATGGAACCTTCAATTCTATTCAACTGACCTACTATTTCCTGAGCAACCCTCGTGTGCCCACTCTTGTGTGGGACAGGAAGGACAAAACTGGGGGCTCATAGCCCCTCTGAGAGACCAGGGAACATTCTGAGAGCGGAGAACAGGGTGCTTCCTGAACCCTTACCAGCTGCAGGCCTTGTGCGTGGTGTGTGGTGTGATGTGTAAAAGGATGAATGAGGAGCCACTGTGGTGGGCAGGTCCCCCCCGCAGCTCCACAGAAGCGCCCCCACCCCCACAGGCTGCACCTGTGAGCCTGCAGCTGTGAGCATGCAAGGCATCCTGGTAACTGGGTGGGCGTGGCCAGGACTGGGGGTTTTCTGTGGTGCCCACAGGCCCTCCTGCCAACCTGCCTCCTCCCCCACCCATGTTCTCCTCTCGAGAGGGCCTGGCTTCCGCCCTGGCTGGGGCCACAGAGCGCCCTGCAAGTCGGGTTTCCTGGAAAGCTGACTCTCAGGTGGAGCTTAGCGTGTGGGAGGTTGTCTAAGGAGCACCCCCTGGGGACCAACACCTGAGGAGGGAGCAGACAGAAGCAGGGAGGGCAGGCGGAGAATTTGAACTCAAATGCAGGCCCCACGACAGCCGAGGCTCCCCCTGGGAGACCTCTGCAGCTAGGAGCCGTCCTGAGTGGGAATTGGACCCCGGCCAGCAGGCTCTAAACAGCCTGATATCGAACTGGAGAAGGAGCTTGACCTTGGATAGGCGGCTGCCTGGGCTGAGGGCCTGGGAGCAGCTGGCGGAAGTCGTCCCGGGAGGGCTCCTGGGCTGAGGGTCCACGCAGGGGTGAGCAGGTCGCTTGGCTGGATCTGCTCCCGGGCCAGCTTGGCCCTGAGCGGCGGGGTGAGGGGGGGGGTGTGACAGCTCGGGCACTGGGTCAAAAGGTCAAGGCTGCAGGTGGGTGGAGAGCCACAGAGGGCAGAGCAATCAATACCCCTTGTTTGGGGAAGGAATGCGAGATGAGCAACTGAACAGAGACGGTCCTGGGAGCAGCGGCAGCTGGAGGCCCTGGTGCCCGGTGCGGGGTTTTCACAGAAGCTAGACCCCGGGTCTGTACCTCCAAGTGCCTTCGAGACTCTCCAAGGGCACGGAATGTGTTCAGGGCCGAGCCCCACTTGGAGTGAGTAGGTTGATGAGGGTGGGGCAGCGGAGGGGGGGCGGCTTTCTCAGTGCCCAGCTGATGCCCTGCAGCCCCTCCTAGCTGGACACTCAGAGGCCTGGCGGAGGAAGCTGCGGTACCGACGCTGTGAATGAGCGCTGCCCCATTCAGAGGACCTCCCAGTGTGGGAACGCACCACCTCCCCCACGGCGCCTCCCCTCGGGTGGACTGAAAGTTGGTGCCCCCCAAACTCGAGGTTTGAAATCCTAATCCCAATGAGGTGGCGCTAGGGGGTGGGGCCTTGGGGAGGTGAGTGGGTCTCGAGGGTGGAGTCCCGGTGAAGGGGATTGGCGCCCTCGTAAGAGGGACCCCAGAGAGCCCCCTCGCTCCTCCCACCACGCGGGGACGGGATGCAGAGAGAAGCCTGCAGCGTAGCGCAGGAAGAGGGGTCCTCACCAGAGCCTGACCACACTGTCACCCCTGATCTCGGAGTTCTGGCCTCCAGAACTGTGAGAAATAGCTGTTTGTGGTTTAAGGCAGGGCCCAATTTAGTAATGAGAT